TCTCTCTCTCTCTCTCTCTCTCTCTCTCTCTCTCTCTCTCTCTCTCTCTCTCTCTCTCTCTCTCTGTGTGTGTGTGTGTGTGTGTGTGTGTTTCTCGAGCCCATGAATTGGAATCACGGGCTAAGGTTTGAAATTGTTTTATCGAGCCCCGTCCTGAAGCCCCAACGTTTCTGAGGGGTTGATTTAAAGCCCTGCATGTGCTTTTTTTCTTAGTCCTGCTGATGTGCTTAATCCTACATGTAATATGTATCCAAAAAAAATTACACAAAAAGTCCTCCTGCTAAGAAGTTTTTGAGAGGGGAAGAAATCCAACCCTCCTTTTGGTAGCTGGAGCTTATATGTGCAATGGTCGAAAGACTCAGAATTTTTTTTTTTCCCCTGTTGTGTCCAGATAGCTTTTGTACTCGCCTCCTGTCGTTTCATTTTTATGGTTGCGGTGGGGGGATTCGAGCCCAGGTCCTCATTTCAGGAGTGGCCCTGGCAAGGAACCAGTGCACTTTTCGATGAAAGTATCGTAACTGAACTTGGTCGGAAAGTAGTCATTTATATCATTATATGGTTGCGGTGGGATTTGCGCCCAGGGGCAGACTGACTTGCCGGCTTGACTTTGAATGTCATTTAAGACTACGGCCATGACAGAACTGCAGATAGGAGTTTTTTTTGGCAGATGGGAGTTTTTCTTTGCCTTCGGTGAAAGTCAAATTTTGCCATTGGCTTTCATTGTAAGTATTTTTATTCGCGTGGAAAACAGTGGGCCCAGTGCCCAGTGCCCCAGGCTCATATTCGCAAGCTTTGAATACAACAGCATACGCATGCCTCTCCGCCTTAATGCCGGGAGATCCATGGCCACTGCTCCTTTCAAACAGCTTGGGATCCGTACCGAATGCACCACAGAGTGATAATTGAACATGAACTGAAGTTACTGAACAGCATTGTTTGCTCCATGAACAGTGGGGATTAACTGTCAGTCAACCAGCTATTCTTTGGTAGGGGGCAGGCTTAACCAGGATGAATTAACTATCACTTAACCAGGATTAACTGTCAGTTAACCAGGATTAACTAATTGTCAATTAACCAGGATTAACTAATTGTCAATTAACCAGGATTAACTGTCAATTAACCAGGATTAACTGTCAATTAACCAGAATCAACTGTTAATTAACCAGAATCAACTGTCAATTAACCAGAATCAACTGCCAATTAACCAGGATAAACTGTCAATTAACCAGGATGAAATCTTCTTTGGTACGGGGCAGGCTTAACTTGAACAAGGAGGATTAACTGTCAGCTAACCAGAGGGGGCGGGGGGGGTTCAACTCTCAGCTAATTAGGTCCCTTGTTCTGCCTCGCATTACTTCATACGCACTCGTTGCTTAGTGAATAGGGGGGGGAGATTGGAATGACACAGAGAACGAAGATTAGCATGGGCAAAAAAAAAAAAAAAAAAAAAAAAAAAAAAAGATTAGCATGGGCCTTGCTCAAGCAAGGATGACACGAAAAAGGAGAAAGGAAGGGAAAAAAAAAAAAAGAAAGGTGCAATCGAACTACCGGTCTGAGCAGTCAGGAGGTGTGAAGAAGTGAAAGAGGATTTCATATGTGCAGAGCTTTCTTTATTGCTGACTCAGAGTGGTGTTTGTGGGAGAAGCTGTATCCATGATCATAATCTGTGTATTCATGTTCGCTGCGTATTAAACCACGAGTTCAACACGGGAGCCCAAGTTGATAAAGCTACCCCTCTAGGCTTGCTAACTTGCGACTTTGCCCCTTTTCAAACTTCAGACTTCAAACTTTGAATTGCCCTTTGTTGCTTTCGTAACTACGTCACCGCTTTAGGCGCAAATCGAAATACTTTGACTGCATTGTGTGTAAACCCATTGTTGCACTTTTTCTAGTCGCCTCATAGGCTGTCATGCAGGATTTAAATGATGTTTGCAATAAGTAAATAAATTAAATAAAGCAAATCCCTTCCTGTTGTGTGCGCCCGGCTTCAAGTGAGACCCTTAAATTGCGGTTTTCGCCGCTCCCCGGTCTTAGGAATCTTTTATTTTGATTCGGAACAGTAAAGATCATGCAAATAATAGTCATAAAATTCAGGTGTGCCATGCATTGCCAAGTTGCTAATTTTGAGAGTCATGACAAAATCATTAGAGAACGTGGAGGCAAAGCAAGAGAAGCAAGACTGACTGACTTGGGCAATGATAAGATAAATGAGGGAGGAATGAGAAGTCGAAATAGACTCAGGAATTACAGGTGAATAGACAAGGCCAACACTAGTCAAGAGTCCTTACTCGTTCCTTAATGTCTCATTTGACTGTGCGTTTCTTGTGCCTCAAATCGTGCCTATGTACCTGGTGAGATTGTGACTTTTGAATGTAGAGTCACCTGAAGCCTGCAAGTTTCGAACAGTTCCACCCAAGACTCATGACACGGAAGTCAACCATAGCACATAATTCCTCCCACAGAGTAGGAAGGTAGGGCCTGGAGAAAATCCCTTTCTTGAGAAGTCGGAACTCCGAAGGCTAAGTCACTGACCCGTAATCAATCTTCGCCGATGAGATGTACCTCTTGGCTAGATCAACCAAGTCACCCCAACAAGTGCCGTTTGTGAGAGGAAAAGGGACATGAGGTTTGGGGCAATCATTTGTAGAGCTTTGGCCTGAAGCTGCGGACCAGCTTGATACCACCCTTGTCAAGCTCCCCCTCTTTGTAGAGCTTTGGCCTGAAGCTGCGGACCAGCTTTGGCCTGGTATTTGACTGTCGTGATTCAGTCTGAGTCTAAATGTTCACTAGTCTTTTTGCCTTTCTTTACATAGGGCCTCAGGTCGTGGATGGTGTCTCCTGCAAACTTGGTGTGAACCACAAAGATTGACAGATCTCCCCGTTTGAAGCCAGATGCACTGACATAGTGGTACTGAAAAGCATCTTTGAGAGCTACCCGATTGAGATTGGCCAAGACTGACCCACTGACTGGGAATGACTGAATCGTACTGATGTGAAGAATAGTAACGGCCGAATTCTGATGAATCCTGTGATTCAAAAAAAAAAAAAAAAAAAAAAAAAGAATCCAGTGATTCAACTGACTGTGCCAGATAGGATGGCTTTGCGTAATATTCTCGGTGATCAGATCTTGATAATGCATTGTATACTTGGTTGTGGTTTGTCTCTTGGCAATATTGCATGCTTTCTTTCACATCCGGCCTCTGAACGTTGCCATGTGATTCCCACTTTATCAGTTCTCCTTTGCAGTGTTAGAGAAGATCCTCACTATTGATTACTGATGACCTCTCGTGCTCGATTAACGGTTTCAATGGAAGAGAATGTGTTGTGTAGTTTTTCGTCTGTTCCGTGGAAGTAGATGACGTACTCAATGAACTTCTGGTCCCTCACCGACCCTAATACCCACTCTCTCATTATCCTTACATAGTGCTGAATATCTTTGATAGCACCTTCTTCCGAGCCTTTGACTTTGTCTCGGTAGAGCGCACAGGGTACCGAGAGGATATTATTGTCTACCATTTCACTTTTCCCAAACTACTTTGCCCTTAGGCCTTGCTGATCTGAGTAGAGTAGTATTTGTTGCCAGTCCGTCGAACATCGAAATAAACTCGTGCAGTTTACCCCGAGCGCCCCGAGCTGTTGTTAACGACTGCTTCACTACAACTAATTCACTGTCAGTTCTATGATGCAAGGGAACCTTATCCCAAGTTTAGTTAAACAGATTGACACTAGCCTCGATTTGTTCTCTAGCACCACAGACAGTATTGATCATGGTCTTCTTCCGCATCCACAACACGGTGAAACTGGATGTGTTTCTGGATCCGGTCATGCAATCACGGATTAACCTGTAGAACAGGTTGGTGGGCGTGATCGCAACGCTGGCTAACTTTTCGGTTTGAATATTTCAGTTGGCACTCAGCTCATGCATAACGCAGGGGCTTTATTAGCAGTCCTTGTTTTCAAAAGCACGAAAAGTTATATAAATCATAAATGGATTGGAGGTTTTTTAACCAATTGGAAGCACA